ATTATAATATACAGTTGATGAGAAATATTACTTGTTCTGAGTATTGTGACCCACCAGGTGCTTAAAACTTGTTGACAAAGTATGGAACATCAGTGGCAATATGTAGGAGTAAAAATTGTTCTGTTATTCTGCTCACTATAGCAATTGCATCATTGTTTCACAGAAAGGATAACATTATGATCCTGTGTGGGTGTATAGCTCATCTGTGGGAGGATGTTTCTGTGCATACTTAGTGATCAAAATTCAAGAAACACGCCTCATTTTTATGAATATTTTCTCATTAGGAATTTGGCTCATGTAAATGCATCACATAGTTTGTAGAAGCATTATATGGAAAAGGATAAAGAAGAAATGAAATTTTTTTTTTTTTTTTTTGCATGTACAATAAAAGCTTGAGCTACTGGAGAGAATTCCTGGGAGTATATAGTATCGTGGCTGTAAACCCAGTCTTTAAAATCTAAATTTAATTCTAACCTAAAAATAACTAGAATGTCAGAGGTGTACCTTTCCACAGCATGAATAGGTTTGTGAAGTATAGATTTATCCATATGCAATGCTATTTTCTCTTTAAAACTTGAGATATCTTTTGGGAAAGGATTTGGCCCCAAGTATTAATAAAACCCATACTTTAGAAGCAAGTATTTTAAAATCACCTGTTGATGGAGGTAAAATAACTTACTAATAAATAAACCTCCCAAAGTACCTAGAGCTGTTTAAATATTTAGCATGATAAAATGAATGCCATAAAATTACAGCTTAACAAAATATAACATAGTCATTTAGTTTCTATTCTTCTCCCTAATATAAAGTAGCAGGTTAATATGCACTCTCTCTGGTTTTGTTGTTCTTTTTTTTGTTTTGAGGCAGAGTCTCGCTCTGTCACCCAGGCTGGAGTGCAGTGGTGCGATCTTGGCTCACTGCAACCTCTACCTCTCAGGTTCAAGCGATTCTCCTACCTCAGCCTTCCGAGTAGCTGGGATTACAGGCATGTGCCACCACACCCAGCTAATTTTTGTATTTTTAGTAGAGGTGGGATTTCACCATGTTGGCCAAGCTAGTCTTGAACTCCTAGCCTTAAGCGATCCGCCCACCTAGGCCTCCCAAAGTGCTGGGATTACAGGCATGAGCCACTGTGCCTGGCTTCTATTTTTAATATGCTGCATCCTCACCCTTTGTGGAAAGCCTCTGGGTTTCAATAACTGACAAGCCGACCTTGCTGAAAGAAGATAGAGATACAGACAAGTAGAAGCAACTGTTCAACATGGTAAGCTATTGAAGAAAGAAATAAGTTTATTAGGAAAAAATAATCAATGAATTGGGGGAAAGTGTAATCAAACATACAATTCTGTGGATCTGAGAACTATTTGGAGTGAGCTGGCAGATAATGTTATAAAAAGGTTACCAGTTTATGAATTCTACATATTTGATAATTTTGGGATAACTTTGGTGTTCCTGTATCACATGGTAATCCTATAAAATAGATCAAGTGTTTCTTAAAATACCATCTTTATAAATATCATCTTGGAGGCCTCACTCTGAATCAACTAGATCTGTACTTCTGGGAATCTGCATTTTAACCCACCCCTCAAATGATTCTTAATGCAGAAGTAAAATCTGAAAATTACTTAACTTAACTGAGTGTAGATTACATTGATTGCTTTTGCAATGATGCCATTATTTTCTCTTTCTGAAGACCCACTGTTTCCAAGACCCAGTTAAAAGCCACCTTTCTTGATTTGTTTTCACACAGAGTTTAGTTTCTTCCTCCTCTGCTCCTCTAGCTCCCATAATTGTGCCTTTGTTACACTAATCAAGAGTATCCCAAATCTCTTAATGCAAATTTAAACTTAACTTTACATACATAAGTGCTGCAAACTTATCAAAAACATTATTTAAAATGTATTTAAATTCATTTTACAATCATTTAGTTTTGTTTATTTTAAATAACAAGTTCTTAATTTTAATATTTATATGTGGCGTTTTTTTGGACTGGTAGAAAAACTTGACCACCTCAATCACCTCATATATCTCCCTTAAACTTTGTCTTTCAGGGTCATGTCAAAATAGTTGAGTGTGCACCAATATTTTGTTCTTCAAATAATCTTAAATCTAGGATCACAGATGTCATCCTTTCTGTCACTAACCCGCAGCTAGTAGAACTTTTTAAAAAGTTTGAAATTTGACTAGAGCAATGTATAGTACAATCCAGTATACTATACGTTGAATTTGATTTCCTGTTGAATTTTAATAAAAATATATTAATATCTTGAAATTTTAAATAATTTGCCTTTTATCTATTGATTTGTGTAATTGTGTATCATTTATACTTCTGAAGTTAAAAACACTTAAAACAGCATGAGTACTTTTAAATTCTGTGTTTTAACTTATTTGTGTGAATTCCTATCTCCCTAAACAGCCCTTCTCTTAAAGTCAGGGGCCATGTTTTATTCATCCTTTTATCCCTAGTACGGTTGATTAATATTTGCTGAATCAAGGTGAAAAATATGTCTATTTTATATTGTCTAATTAATATTTTCAACATTATTTAAATACTACTAACTATATTTAGATATAGGTAGCATATTTAAAATGTAATATTAATATAGCATCAAACATATATTTAATACTATTTATTGTGTTTCCATACATTGCAGTTATTATCCTTTTAGATGCTCAGATTATTTCATGTTTGTCCAGGGGGAATCTCTTCCTGTTGAGTCCTGAGTCCTACTAACACAAGAGTCAACTCCTGTGTAGTAGTAGTCTTGATACGCTACTCCTAGTAGTCTTTGATAACTTCCTTCTGTCTTGTATCACAGTATAATCCAAGCTCATCTTGTACATTTCCTCTTCCAGATCTCAAATCAGCCATTTTCCAAGAAAGCCTGGGAAATGTGGTTTTCAGACCATAAACTCTGGGAAGTGTATCATTACTAGCTAGGTCATTGTTCCTATGCCTTTTCAGGTTGCAGAGCTAAGAAATACATGCATACATATATATATGTATGTACATAGATAATACTTCAAGAGGCGCCAGCATGTTATTTAACTTCTTCAATCTTATATATGTGTCAGCTTTATCCCATGCTAAAAATACTTAACAATGACACTGGAGTGATAGAATGGCAGTCATATAATTGTTCAGTTATTCATCTTACAAAGCACACACAACAGATTCTGCATGACAATAATCACAACACTACCATCTAACATCATATGATTACTGAAAACAGTTTAAGATTATTTTAACAGTTCTTTTTGTTGGATCACACTAGGAATGTGCTAGTAAATTTTTATATTTTAAAGATACTTGAAATAGTTACTTTCTGTATGATTATTATCCACTGCTAGAGTATACATGCAGATCATATTTACTTTTTTCCTTGAAGAGAATCCCTTTGAATGTTTAGTCATACCCTCTGATTCTGGAAGGTAGACAAATAATGGAATTTGCATACATTGCAGCTGAAGCAAGCTATAGAAGCAGCATGCAGAAACTGGGCAACTTACCAACTTTTCCCAGATTATCTCTCCTTTGGCATATGAGTCCTTCAGAAAGACAAGACCCAAATCTTAAGTATTTCTTTGAATTTGTAAAATATACTTTAGTTTTATTTTTAAACCTTTGCCCCTGATCTGAGTATGTATTTCTTCTGACAAAGCATTGTGGTGAAGTTGCATTATCAAAAATTGTGTTGAACAACATTCCTTTTTGTTAAAATTAAATTCGGGAAAAAATGAACTGGAATATCATTTCTTAAAATATTCAGTACTGTGGAAATGGGTGGGTTTGCTTCTTCAAAATTAGCCAAATAATAATTTTATTTTTTGAAGTAAAGTTAGTTTTTTAAAGTTAAAATAGTGATGGCCAGGCGCGGTGGCTCACGCCTATAATCCCAGCACTTTGGGAAGCCGAGTCGGGCCGATCACCTAAGGTTGGGAGTTTGAGACCAGCCTGACCAACATGGAGAAACCCTGTCTCTACTAAAAATACACAAAATTAGCGGGGCATAGTGGCACGTGCCTTTAATCCCAGCTACTCGGGAGGCTGAGGCAGGAGAATTGCTTGAACCCAGGAGGCAGAGGTTGCTGTGAACCGAGATTGCGCCATTGCACTCCAGCCTGGGCAACAAGAGCAAAACTCTGTCTCCAAAAAAAAAAAACAACTAAAATAGTGACACTAATACATGGTTAAAATGTATTTATCACTTAATGTATGTCAGATTCTATTGATTTATCTCTTTTTGTCACTTAATTCTTACAACAGTTTTATTGGGTTGTTACCAATATGCCCGTTTTATAAATTTCGTGAGGAAACTGTGCCATAGAAACATTGTCTCTAAGCAAAGATCAGTTTGTTGTATTGCTGCTTATTGTATATCCAGTAACTGCAGGTTAAAAAAAAAAAGACCATGGTGGCTTTTGAAAGAATTTTTTGTAATTCCTGGGACTTAAATTTAGGTGAGAACTATGAACTGGGTAATTATTATTAGTAGATGTATTAATTTTAAATGTGTACTGTAAAGTATATTTAATAGCTTGCAATAGTTAAAAATATATAATTATTTGAGATTTTGATAGGACTATTGAAATAAATGTTAGTGTGTTTTTTAATGTTCTAATCGATAATAAATTAGTATTTGAAATGTTAGGGACATTTCAACAAAATACATTTATCACGTGTAAAAGCTTAGATGGAAAATGATTACAATATTTTTTCAATATTTGTTTTTAAAAGTCTACTTAATGTATATTGTCTTTTAGTATGCATTTAAAGGTAGTAAAATTAGAATATACAGTTAAGCAAAAATAAGGATATCCTCTGTTAGTGACCATCAGCGCTAACCATTATTAATATTTTGGTATATAGCATCCCAGATTTTTCCTATTATTTTTGCTTGAATTGTTAAGACTTTTAAAATTGTAGTGTAATTTCTAAGAAAATATTTTAAAAGAATGCTTGGTATTTTGAATCTAATGTGTATGGTTCTTTTTTTCAGGATTGTACTGTATATGAAACAGAGAATAAAATTCTTCACGTGGTGAGTACACTTGGATTTATTTTAATCTTTATTAGAGAATATTTCCTTGATCAACTAGAAGAAGTGAACCATAAGAAAAAAATCTACTGACCATATCAGTTAAGTGTATTTTTATAGGAAATCTACAAAAGAATCAAAGCATAACAAATTACGTTAGTTATAACCATTCTATTGTACCTAATAGGAAAAAAAGATACAATATTTTTAAATTGTAATATGTAGCAAGGTTGGAATGTAATAAAAAAGTAATAATGTAGAGCAAGGAGAATTTGAAATGAGAATTTCTTTTACTATTCATCTATTACAAAAAAAAGATCAGAGAAAGGTATTCTGTTCTATAATGGGTAATTAATCTCTATCATCATTTGGATGAAATACTTTATTAAAAAAATCAAATTTCCTTTGCTCCAATTCTATACTTACCAGACAACCTTTCAAATGGTAATATGGCAATATTTTTGAATCAGTTAATGACTTTACATATATTTTATTACTAGAAATGGGCTATGGATACATTTTACTTTGTTGAAAGGCCATCTCCTGTCTTCTTAATGAACAGTTGGCCACTTTTATTTGTAAATGCATTTCTTGATCAATGCTGGTTTGTCCTAATAACTTCTTCACCTCTGGTGTGTGTGAAATCATGTCATTTCTGCATCTGCCAGGTACTAGGCGGTGAAGATTCATATGTCTGTAAAAGGACATTTGCCTCATTTATTCCTAATATCAGTTTATAAGTTTTATGTTTCTGAAATGTTTGAATATTTATAAAAGAATACTATTTTGTATTTAGAAAAGTAAATACTTTTAAAATGTCTGAATGTATGTATGGAGGGAAATCAGAATATCAGCGGTACAGCATCCCTATTCCTTTTTTGTTATCTACTATAGAAATGGTACTGAATAATCCTCTGCTAATCCTCTCCCCCTCATTGTGCAGTAGGGATGCCCTTTGTGGTTTATAAGAATAGTCTCAGGAGTGGATAATTAATGTATTTTTCTCCTTATTAGTCCAAGAGGGAAAATAATTACAACTCCCTCATGTTGATCTACCTGTAGGGCCTGGAGAATAGAAAGACACTAATATTTATTTAGGGCCTATATATTTCAAGTATTAGCTTAGTTTCTATAAGTGTATTCTCTCATTTAATCCTACTTTTGCAGATGGTGGAACTAAGGGTCACAAATACTAAGTTGTTCAACTATTCAGTTTGAACACAGAATCTCATACCAAAGCCCATGCCCTTTCCAGATCTGGCAGTTGCTACCAATTCTAGTTCCCTGAGGCTTTACAAATTGTACTATCTTTTTTCCCATGAAACCCAGGGCTACTGTCTAGCTGTGCCTATTTTGTCAATAACTAAGGAGCATGCACAGAGCCTTTCCCACCTACATTTTATTTTCTGTGAGTGACTGTTTCTTTGGCATTGAATTTTCTGTGACAATGACTGTTCTTTCTGAAGTATTGAATTTACTGAATTCGACTTTAGTACACTGCTGTGGGTTCTTCATTGTGTTTACTTCAAGGCTGTTATTGAGGTCAGTGTGTGTTAACATTTTTTTCTTTATCAGATTTCTCAGGAGTAATCTCTCCCTGATGTTAGTACCAAAAAGAGCTGTACTTTTCTTTATGCATTGGCTGCTACGAACTTAAGATTAAAATTTGTGGCTCATAATGGACAAGTGCATCTCATGGTATTTGTTTTGTATTTAGCTTCATTCTTGGCTCTAATTTATATACATGATTTCTTTTTGCCTTGTTTTTCTCAATTAATTTATGTATGGTATATATTTTTACATCTGTTGATGTAGCCTTTTCTGTGGAGGAATAGTTCCAGTTACGAATGCACATTTGTGATCAATATTCAGATATCAACAAAGGACATGTAAATAATTTATAGAAAAAGAATCTCTTGAGAACTGTAAAAAATATGAAATTTTATTTCTGAGGAAATTTCAGATTCCACCATATGACAGAATAACAGAAATAAATTTAAATGATGAAAGAAATACTGTGGGATTTCTCTTGTACTAAAGACCTTAAATATCATTTTAATTAATTAGACTAAGGAAAAATCTCTTTGGGGTTATAAAATGATGATTGAAATTTTATTAAATAAAAACCATAATAAGTAATAGCCAAATTTTAAAAGTTCTTAGTCACTAACTATTTTTAATTTTAAATAATTTTAAAATAATAAGTAATTTTTAGTTTCTTAAATAAATTCCTAATAATTGACTCATATTGACTTATCTTTCTTAAAAGTCAGATTCTGGGCTACTTGCTATTAGAAATAAGTAACAGCGTAAATAGTACTGAAGGAGTTTAGAAATGAATGCCATATGTTTACCTTGGCAATTTTGCATTCCAGCTAGTGAGAATTTAAAAATCCTGTCTGATGATGATGGCAACAGTGAATGGCATTAACCAAATCAGTTCGTCTCAGAAAGCACTTGTCTTTTCATGTTATTCTTCTACTTCCCATCCTGACCGTTTTATACAAAGATTACCCAGCCTTTACTAAAAGGTTGTATGTATACTTGTATATTACTTTTCTCACAAGAATAGTTAATTTTTTGGAATAATAAAATAGTATACAGTACCACTTAGTATATGATGCTAAAGAAAATTTCTAGAACAAGTATCTTTCCAGATCTCTATAGTGTAGAAGAAATAACTTTGAGTCTAAAAACCTGTGTCTGAATCCTAATTCTACCGTTTTCTATCTCGGTGAGCTGAATCAAGTGATGTTCTTGAGAGTTTGTTCTAATTATGTAAAATGGGGATATTAATATCTTTCATGAATGATTGTTGCTAGGAGAAAATAAATAAGTAAATTTTCTAGACAGAGCTTTATAATCTGGTAGTCCTCTTTCTAGTATTTATTTATTTATTTAGGTTACATCTCATTATTTAGGTTTTTTGTTGTTGTTGGTTGGGTTTCTTTTTTTTGAGACAGTCTTGCTCAAGCTGGAGCTTATACACCCAGGCTGGAGTACAGTGGCATGATCTCGGCTCACTGCGAGTTCCATCTCCCAGGTTCACGCCATTCTCCTGCCTCAACCTCCCGAGTAGCTGGGACTACAGGTGCCCGCCACCACGCCCGGCTAATTTTTTTGTATTTTTTAGTAGAGACAGGGTTTCACCCTGTTAGCCAGTATGGTCTGGATCTCCTGACCTCGTGACCCACACACCTCGGCCTCCCAAAGTGCTGGGATTACAGGCATGAGCCACCGCACCCGGCCTATTTAGGGTTTTTAATTTCCTCTTTCTCTCCTTTTTATATGCACCAGAAAATCAAAAGCCTGAGTTTTTATATAGCTTGTTTAGGATGAAATTGTGAGTTAGTTTTAATGTTTTCCTTGTTTCTATGATACTCAAATATTCTAAGTACGTTATGATTTATAATGGCTCCTTTTCAAAGATGAATTAATATGTATTCTATATGAGCATCTTAGCCTGGGTTCTTTCTGGAAAACAGAGCCTACAACAAAGGCTTGAATGCAGATAGTTTATGTTGATTAGTTATCCCAAGGCACAGAAGAGACACTGGGAAGGAGAATCAATATGGATTCTAGAATTGTTCACCACTATAGGGAACTGAAGTTCGATCCCATCAGGACCTTCTGAGAAGCCCTGTAGAATGTGCCTCAGAATTGTCCAACCTGACTGACAAAGATTGAAGAGGGAGAATGTATCTGCTGGCACTAATCCAATTATCCCATTGGTCAAAGATTGCTCCTTGGGATGTTAACTCTCACACTACCAGGTTTTTGGAGGTACCAGAGACCTCTAGGACAGAAAGCAAAGGTAGTACAACTGAAATGAAGCAGATTGCCACAGCAGTAGCTGGAGAAAAAGTGGGCTGAGTGGGGAGTCTAGTACAATGAAGCGCCTCTAAGTGGCAATCCAAATTTTAAAGTATTTTGGATCACATAAAGTATCCTGATAGTGATTGACATCAAGATCTGCATAACTCACAAAAGCAAGCTTCAAAACAATAGATATAGCATAACATTTGTGTAAAAAAGCAATGTATTTATAGTGAAGAAAATAATTTGAAGAACTATGCAATAGACTTAATGTTGGTTGCCTTTGCAAGGAATAGGATAAATTTTAGGGGCATTAACTTTAAATTATGTGTTTGTATAATGGTTAAATATAGCATAACAAGTATGTGTTAATCAGAAAAAGAAAGTACTAAAATATCTGTAGAAATGCCTGAATAGCAGCCCAAAATCTAGATTAAAAATGAGTATTTTATAGTTAGATACAATGAATTAGATCTACTACTTGATAGCACAACAGAGTAACTGAGGTACTATAGTCAGCAATAATTTGTTGTACATTTTAGAGTAACTGAGGGAGTATTACTGGAATGTTCATAACACAAAGAAATGATAAATGCTTGAGGTGATGGATACCCCCATTTACCCTGATGTAATTATTACACATTGTATGCCTGTATCCAAATATCTAATGTACTCCATAAATACCTAATGCATACCTACTATGTACCCAGAAATCTTTTCTAAAAGATAAGTATTTTTAACAAATGAGTAAGAGTTTCAAATGGGTAAGGAGTGAAAACAGTGCTAGTAGCCAACCATTGACTAACCTAAAGAACATGGCTGAAATCTTTCTAATGCCAGGCAGATTTAGAATCCTATGTAATATATTAATAGTTCTTAGGAACCTCTTCACTTTAGTACATTGGACTGCGAGTTAAATAGGTTTTTAGAACATCCCCAGTGATGGCTGCCGTTTAGAAGGAACAAGGAGACCCCAGATTACTGAATAGAGATTATAGTAGCTTGAGATAGGCACTAGAACATCAACTGTCGTAGCCTAAACCCTACCCCTAAATCTTTATTTTGTCCAGAGGATAGGGAAGGCAATTTTCAAGAGGAAGGAGAACTTATCACTTATGAAAACTTGTTATAGCCCAGGAATTCCACAAGGCAGTACAAGTTGAGTGTCCCTTATCTGAAATGCTTGA